AACTAATGACATTTAACTTTCCTTCAGAGCGTGGAAGTTGTAAAGGGCGTTGAGAGAAAGCTGGAGGGCAGTCAGGTACAGCTTGCAAGTGGAGTCAGTGACCTCAAGCAGCAGATACAGAAGGTATGGGTTCCCATAACCCTATAGGCAAAATGAGGCAATATTATATCTGTAATTTTTTAATTGTTTTTTAAAGAATTTGTATGTGCAGATATGAAAAGAAATTTTTTCTGTTTGTTTTTCAGGTGGATCAAAAAGTGAACAATCTGTTAGAACAGTCCAGCACTCCTGCTCCACAGGCAAACAACGAAACACATTCTCGTAAGCAGAGATTAACACAAGCAGGTAAGATTTCATAGAACAGATATTGGAAAACATAATTTGGGCATATACTGTAAGTAAATAAGTATAATTATAGAAAAAAAAGTGTTTCTCCTGAAGGACTCTCAATCCATGATTCTCATGTCTCACTAAGGACTGAAACCTTTTTTTTCAGATTCAGGAACTTTAAGAGATAAAAGAGGACCTTGATATGTGAAGGAGGAGTCTGCAGCATTGCTACGAACATTATGTGCCAATAATGCTCTGTTTGCATCCAAAGAAGTTTAACATCACAAGACATTAGCAGTTTGAAGCTTTGTATTCCATCCTGCTGTAGTAAGCTAGCTAGTGCAGATTGTAGGGTCTTCTCATAGAGTCACTTTCCAAACTTTGTAATATGTTTGTGAAAAAGCCAGTATATGTTTTAATCTTTTTATGAATTTGAATTTAAAAGTTTGTTATGTTTTTGCTTTTATCACTAGAATGTTTTATGATTATAAGGATTCCATTGGTAGACACATTAGCATTAAGTAGCCTCACACAATTAATGACAGCTGATAATTTTATTGCATGACAATGTATTGATTAGCTTTCTTTTTAGCCAGGAAATAGAAATACTCCCAGTACTATATGTGTAAATATTGCATCAACCATGACCATCCAACTTCATTGTAAACATTTTTTTATGAAGCAATATAAATTTTTGATACAGTACATACAAAAAAATATCTTGTTACAGACCTTTTTTTCCATGGGATATTTCAGCAATTTACCACATATTCATATTTCTATGGTGATGGGAGGTTTTCTGCAGTTTTGGCAGTGGAGCTAAAGAGAAATTGCCAGAGTTGGTAATAGAGAACCACTTTCTCAAGTAGATTATTCTGTCAAGCATAATCTAGAATTGCAACCATTGGTGAGCACAGTATCTCAGCTCAGTCAGACCACTTTGTAATAAGGAAGGAAATCTTATTTGCATAATTTTTTGTAGCAATGTGTTGCGTTTGAGAGATGTCTAGTGCTGAAATCTCGTGTAGAGACCAGTGTGTAGGACTTTTTATTATGGCTGAATATTTTCTACATGGTTGTGTAATGTTATTCAGATTGTGATGCTCTATACTCTTGCTAGTTTAAAGCAAAAAGACATTCATGTATATGTTATACGGTTCTTTCAAATGCTTCAGAAATTATTTGTGAAGTGTTGAACCACATTTTTGCTCATGCCAGTTATATGGACACAAAAAAGTCCCGTAGTATTTATTTAGATATAAAAGAGGGACCTTGTGGAATTAGGTTATAGTTCTTCCTGCTGCTTTATTTCATCTTGACAATGAATCATCAAGTTAATTTGGAAAGATGATGTTAATTCAAGTGTTGATATTTTATTTGTATAAAATCTAATATGTTTAGAGCAACAAAGCCTAAACCACTGCATTGTAAAGAGATAACACAGCATTCCTAAATTATAAGTGACTTCACTTTGTTATATTGTAATGGTCTGGAAGTACTACAGTCCATTTGTTGCAGATGATAAAGACCCCTGAAGTGATGCCCAGTGCAAATAATGAACTAAGAAGTACCAGTATAAACCCTCAACAAAAGCTCTCGTTTCACTTTTTTTCTGAGTGACAGCTAAAAAGATGAACAGCACACCAAATCTTTGTGGTTTCTTGCTTTATTGCCCTAAGGTCCCTGTTGTAAAAAGGAAATAATAATAATAATTATAACGAATACATAAAGAAATACATAACTAAATAAAGTTTATTAGGGGCCAGGTATTTGTAACTGAGGCTCAAGCCACTTTTTAGTAAATCATAGAAGCCCCTGCAGATGATTCCTCCTTCAGTAGCCTCTTGATTCTAGGTGATCCCATATCTCATCCAGACAAGCCATCCAACTTGTGCTTAGCAGATATTATCATGTTAAATGTTACCTATTTTAGAGTTGTAGATATAAGTGTTGCAAAAACTATCTAGCAAAAAATACTTTACTATTGTCATTTCATGGCATCTAGATTTATACCTTAGGTATGCTTTATCAATGTTTTCAGTGTTTCACATTTCATAGCAGTAGCCAAGCTTCAAAGAAAAAAATATATAATGAAGCTACAATAAGCTTAGCTTATGGCACATGGATGTGGATTTTCCTCAATTATATGAAGAGAGTAATTGTTAGAAACGTTTGAACAGTTATTGATAATAGCCCAGGTCTGCTACTCTGGCATCGTTAATTTCTGAACCAAATTGCATAAATGAGGTATGCTTTATATAGCTTTTTATCTGTTACCCATGTGCTGCTATCTGTTATTAGAATTTATTTTTAAAGTCTAGTCTCTGGCACTAATGTATGGTTGGTAGTCTTAAGGAGAACAAGTAGTTTCTTGTAGAATCTTTATGAAAATTGATTTGCTTTGTCCATTTTTTCTTTTTGTACTGTTGAATTATATGCATTTCTTTGTATTGTTTGTGTGGTAAGTTGAAGAACAAGGCATTACAAGTCATTTGTGGTGTTTTGCTGTCACATGAAATGCATGTCTCACAGCCTTTCATATCACAAATAATGTATTCTTTATATGATGAAACAAACCACATATTCAGACTTTCTGGAGATTAGTTTTCTATACAAGCTGCTATATCTTTACCTGTGATAGCTAAAGAAAATCTCTCTCTCTCTCTCTCTCTCTCTCTCTCTCTCTCTCTCTCTCTCTCTCTCTCTCTCTCTCTCTCTCTCTCTCTCTCTCTCTCTCTCTCTCTCTCTCTCTCTCTCTCTCTCTCTCTCTCTCTCTCTCTCTCTCTCTCTCTCTCTCTCTCTCTCTCTCTCTCTCTCTCTCTCTCTCTCTCTCTCTCTCTCTCTCTCTCTCTCTCTCTCTCTCTCTCTCTCTCTCTCTCTCTCTCTCTCTCTCTCTCTCTCTCTCTCTCTCTCTCTCTCTCTCTCTCTCTCTCTCTCTCTCTCTCTCTCTCTCTCTCTCTCTCTCTCTCTCTCTCTCTCTCTCTCTCTCTCTCTCTCTCTCTCTCTCTCTCTCTCTCTCTCTCTCTCTCTCTCTCTCTCTCTCTCTCTCTCTCTCTCTCTCTCTCTCTCTCTCTCTCTCTCTCTCTCTCTCTCTCTCTCTCTCTCTCTCTCTCTCTCTCTCTCTCTCTCTCTCTCTCTCTCTCTCTCTCTCTCTCTCTCTCTCTCTCTCTCTCTCTCTCTCTCTCTCTCTCTCTCTCTCTCTCTCTCTCTCTCTCTCTCTCTCTCTCTCTCTCTCTCTCTCTCTCTCTCTCTCTCTCTCTCTCTCTCTCTCTCTCTCTCTCTCTCTCTCTCTCTCTCTCTCTCTCTCTCTCTCTCTCTCTCTCTCTCTCTCTCTCTCTCTCTCTCTCTCTCTCTCTCTCTCTCTCTCTCTCTCTCTCTCTCTCTCTCTCTCTCTCTCTCTCTCTCTCTCTCTCTCTCTCTCTCTCTCTCTCTCTCTCTCTCTCTCTCTCTCTCTCTCTCTCTCTCTCTCTCTCTCTCTCTCTCTCTCTCTCTCTCTCTCTCTCTCTCTCTCTCTCTCTCTCTCTCTCTCTCTCTCTCTCTCTCTCTCTCTCTCTCTCTCTCTCTCTCTCTCTCTCTCTCTCTCTCTCTCTCTCTCTCTCTCTCTCTCTCTCTCTCTCTCTCTCTCTCTCTCTCTCTCTCTCTCTCTCTCTCTCTCTCTCTCTCTCTCTCTCTCTCTCTCTCTCTCTCTCTCTCTCTCTCTCTCTCTCTCTCTCTCTCTCTCTCTCTCTCTCTCTCTCTCTCTCTCTCTCTCTCTCTCTCTCTCTCTCTCTCTCTCTCTCTCTCTCTCTCTCTCTCTCTCTCTCTCTCTCTCTCTCTCTCTCTCTCTCTCTCTCTCTCTCTCTCTCTCTCTCTCTCTCTCTCTCTCTCTCTCTCTCTCTCTCTCTCTCTCTCTCTCTCTCTCTCTCTCTCTCTCTCTCTCTCTCTCTCTCTCTCTCTCTCTCTCTCTCTCTCTCTCTCTCTCTCTCTCTCTCTCTCTCTCTCTCTCTCTCTCTCTCTCTCTCTCTCTCTCTCTCTCTCTCTCTCTCTCTCTCTCTCTCTCTCTCTCTCTCTCTCTCTCTCTCTCTCTCTCTCTCTCTCTCTCTCTCTCTCTCTCTCTCTCTCTCTCTCTCTCTCTCTCTCTCTCTCTCTCTCTCTCTCTCTCTCTCTCTCTCTCTCTCTCTCTCTCTCTCTCTCTCTCTCTCTCTCTCTCTCTCTCTCTCTCTCTCTCTCTCTCTCTCTCTCTCTCTCTCTCTCTCTCTCTCTCTCTCTCTCTCTCTCTCTCTCTCTCTCTCTCTCTCTCTCTCTCTCTCTCTCTCTCTCTCTCTCTCTCTCTCTCTCTCTCTCTCTCTCTCTCTCTCTCTCTCTCTCTCTCTCTCTCTCTCTCTCTCTCTCTCTCTCTCTCTCTCTCTCTCTCTCTCTCTCTCTCTCTCTCTCTCTCTCTCTCTCTCTCTCTCTCTCTCTCTCTCTCTCTCTCTCTCTCTCTCTCTCTCTCTCTCTCTCTCTCTCTCTCTCTCTCTCTCTCTCTCTCTCTCTCTCTCTCTCTCTCTCTCTCTCTCTCTCTCTCTCTCTCTCTCTCTCTCTCTCTCTCTCTCTCTCTCTCTCTCTCTCTCTCTCTCTCTCTCTCTCTCTCTCTCTCTCTCTCTCTCTCTCTCTCTCTCTCTCTCTCTCTCTCTGTCACATGAAATGCATGTCTCACAGCCTTTCATATCACAAATAATGTATTCTTTATATGATGAAACAAACCACATATTCAGACTTTCTGGAGATTAGTTTTCTATACAAGCTGCTATATCTTTACCTGTGATAGCTAAAGAAAAAAAAAGTTGAGATACAATTTTGTTTCTTATAGTGATTTACAAGGTGAATTGTGAGTTATAAGACAGTGTGACAGATCAAGTACATAGTCAGATACCAAGATTTTCTCACTCTTGTGGAGTTCTAGATGCAATATTGGTTTCTGCTAAGGTTTGGAATAACTTCAGTACACAAGAAAATAGATGTGGTGAATTGATCTTTTATTAATTTCAAACTTTTCTTTGCTTAATTTCATAACATTTTAGAATCAGAGGACTGCATTAGTAAATGGTCATGAAAAAATCAAGGCTTCTTCAATTATCATTGCAACAACAACCATAAGCAGTGCAAAGGTAATCAGAGGAAATTAAAAACAAGGTCACATTACACATAAGTATGCATGTTACATAACTGTTTGAGGCATTGCAGTGTAAGTGTTATCAGTGTTAAGGGGTTATTTAGGGGAGTTAAATATTTGATAAAGTTTATACCAGAAATGTAAATATTTTCTGTTTAATAATATTTCAATTGTGAATTTCATTGAATAAGAACTTTCGTTATATATCAGACCACAACATCCATCACAACAGTAGCAGTCATGGCTTGGGAATGAATGCAGTAAAAAAAGATTGAGTGTGTTTCAAGAGTTTGAAAAAAAATTGTATAGCAAATTTTCAAATGCATTATGATAAATAACTTCTCTTTTTCACCCAGTGATATAGAAAAATGATTTTAAATAGATGTGGTATATTGAAAGTTTTCTAAAGTTTTTATCTTGGTATTCCTCTGAAAGGGGAAATATCTTTTCTTCTTTATCAGAGTTTTGCTTTACTTGTTCTTCAGTGTTGATAATCTAATTTCAGCAACTTCGTTTATTGAGTCTTTACCATTTTTTTCTACCTTAAGGGTCAGTAGTAACCAATAAATATTCACCAACTTATTACTCTGAAAATACGAAAAGCCTGAACATATTTTGTACATTCCAGAAATGAAAGAACTACAGGAATTCAGTAGGCATTTTTTTTTTTTTTTTTTAATCATTTAATGGTTTAAATTTTATAATTTACTGAATATCAAGTTTTTTTCTCTCTCTCTCTCTCTCTCTCTCTCTCTCTCTCTCTCTCTCTCTCTCTCTCTCTCTCTCTCTCTCTCTCTCTCTCTCTCTCTCTCTCTCTCTCTCTCTCTCTCTTTCTTCATATTCGTTTTGATTATTGCTCTTATGCATATACTGTTATACTTATATATTGTGCTTAAGCTACTGTTATCTCCTGGTGAGTAACGCTGGTGAACTTATTTCAAAAAATTTCTTTCCACATATATTACTGGATTTTGTAATTCTCTGATGAGATATCAGGTCTTAAGAAATAGCTTTAATGATTATAATTTCAGTTGCAGTAATGATATAAACACCATGCTCATTGCCCTCACCTCATAGGTGAATATAACATGTTTTTTTCCATGTCTATAAATTAACATATATTTCATTTTTTATGCATGCATTAAATAATTTAGCCAGAACAATATTATTTTATTAGTCAAGTGTTAAAGGTTAATATTAAGTACTTTGTTATAACACAATAACACAATATATAAATACTAAGTGATAACAGCTCTCAATAAAAATGCCAGTGAAGATTTGCAGTTTATATATATTAAAAGGTTATATTTTAGGCTTGGTAGGTGTCAATCAAAATAAAGTTTCACTTATTTATTTGATTTTTTTGTTTTGTTTTTTGTTTTTTGTTTTATGCGAGCTACTGTTGCAAGGAAGGACCCTTACATCTGCTCACAACCACCATTCCATTAATGTATATCTCAGTCCAATTGTTTGCCACTGTGTCATGATGATGGTGAATAATTAACAACAAGTTTTAAGATATTATGTTGAGAGTAGACTGTAACTGCTGGTACAAAACTATGATGAAAATACTTTATTAGGAAATTGCACATGTAGAACATATATGTGCCTGCTGAAGATGGCCTAGAAACAGTTTTTACAAATTTTTAAGTGGAATTATTAATCTTCAGTTTTAAAATTCAAATTTAAGCTTTCTGTGGCAGGAAATAGCAATATACTACTTGGATATATTTAAAAGATAAGATGCCCAGTATCATAATCAAAGTTTGGTTTTCATATTGTTATCATACCTCAAGTAAATTCTTCTTTCACCATTCCAGGAGTATTTTTAATATTCAAGGCTATATTTTGCAAATATGAAATGACTTTCATTACAGACTTTTACTTAGTTATTGTAGATTTTCAGCATGATGGAAGACAAAAGTCCTGACACATGCAGACTCTATACTTGACACATTCAGACTCTATACTTAATCCTAATTTCAAGTACTACACTTATGGCACTGGAATTTTTAAAAATGGAATTATTCACTATCAGATATAGATGTGTGGTATTTATGACTGAAAAATTATATTTTAGGATATTGATATACAGGTTGATATTTGTATGCATAAAGAGGTTTGTGGTTTATGTTTTTTTATACTTTAAACCTAATTATTTACTGGAGAGGTATGATTTTTTTTTTTTTTTTTTTCAAAGTTACATTTTTATCTTTGGTTTAGTTCTCCCCTAACAAAGAAAATTCTGTATATCATAAGAGTCAAGGAGTCGTAGAAGATCACGGCTGATCAGGGTGTCATTTTAATCCAGCTTCATGTAACTTGGGAAACCATGTCGTGTACACTGAACCCATCGAGTATTGTAAGAATCTTTAATTTGTTAAATTTGAAGAATAAAGAATGAATTTCTCACCAAGTCTTTTATTATTCATGCTGCAAAAGAAAACATGTCGTTTGTAGTCATTAGCTTCAGACCACTTGGTTGGTTAAATGCCTGAAGGTGGATGGTATGAATAGTACTCTGATTTATTTATTTCGGCAGCCAAACCTAATTTACCAGTGCAGGGCCACCCTAAGATGGAGCCACTTTCTTTTGAACATTCGGTTTTCAGACTCCAGCACATCATTTTTCAAGTTAGAATTTAATTTTAAGTTGAAAGAATTACTAAAATATACTAATTAAAAAAAATATATATATAGGCCTATACTAGCCTATATGATAATCTGGCCTTGCATTCTTAGCATCTCATGTCAGAGAGAATTCCTATGAATTAATCAATGACACACAGGGTGCATTAACTGTATTTATAATGTTAACAGTTAACAATAAAAGAAAAAAAATGGTTTCATGGCCACTACTTTTATTGGACTCCTAGGCTGCAGCCTAGTTAGCTTCAGGGATAATGCAAGACTCTACCTGTGCAAGTACACACATGCTGAACAAATGCCAGAGAAACAACTAAAGTACCACATACACAGTCCTATGGTAGCACTATATTGTATGTAATTAGACTGATTGCAAGATTGGTAAAGTTGGGTAGACAAATAGACAAAATCTGTTACATAGATAAATATATAGATTTAGATAGATGAATGATAAGACTTGTAGACAAAACCATAGTCAACATATAAAAATAGATTGCTACATAATTTTATTTTTAAAAATGGTAGATAAGTAGGTGTTTAAGTACACAAAACAAAATTTAGATAAAAGGATACATAAAGATAATGTCACAAAATTAAAGCACACAAAGACTCAGCGGCCTCATCACCATCCAATTATGACCTTTGACCTTTGAACGAGCAGTTCAGACCGTTTGTCTGTTCCCAACGAGCTTCCAAAGTCTAATTTATGCGCATTTGCATGAAAAACTGGTGTGACTTTTGGCACATAATATCAAGTTATGGCCAGACCTTCAACTTACCAACAAAGTTTGATCCACAGTAACTTCAACCTTGACCAAATTAACTTAGTTTGCTTGATCCCAATCCATTTATGGCGTTCTGGTCCAAACTAGTTCTACTCTTCATTAGAATTAGTAAAATTTATGGACATCGAACTTGATACAGTGAGGTCATGTTATTCTGACCATATAAAAACTGGTATGATATACGACAATAAAAACATAACTAGAATGACACTTGGGCTGCATGTTTTTGCTGTCTTTTATATAATATAATATATATATATATATACATATATGGTAGATAAGTAGGTGTTTTCAATATATTTATATATATTTATATATTTTTATATATATATATATATATATATATATATATATATATATATATATATGCATGTATATATATATATATATGCATATATATGTATATATGTATGTATATGTGTATATGTATATATACATATGTGTGTGTGTGTGTGTGTGTGTGTGTGTGTGTGTGTGTGTGTGTGTGTGTGTGTGTGTGTGTGTGTGTGTGTGTGTGTGTGTGTGTGTGTGTGTGTAAACTGCATGAGAGTTATCATGAAGTATGGCTGTATAGAGATATCATTATATACTTTAAACCTATATGCAAAAATCTTGTCACTGGCACATACTTATCGAGGTAAAGAAGTGTGCCGCTTCACTTTCCAGTCTTCCAACCGCCGGAGTCGTGCCGCGCCAAGCAAAGGTCAAGGGCTGGGCAGATCACGGTCAACGAGTCACCCTGAGTGTTCGACGCACCGGAAGCGAAGTCGGTTCCTGGTGAAATCGTCACATATACGCTAACGGATGTGTGGATAACTAATAGGAAGTAAATTTTACGAGACAGAGAACAGCCAGAGAGGGAGAAACTGGAGCGTAAGTTGCATATTACTGTGTCTAGGAGTGTGTTTTGTGCGACTTTCAGAAACGTTCACACCGTTGCGCAATATGTCATGAGAACTTGAAATATAAAAATAGTCCTATTGGTTAGCAAAGTGGAAATAGCAGAGAATAAAATGAAACAAAACTAAACACGCGATACTCTTTTGCCTGAACTCGACACGCGGCTTCAGTGTTGTTTTTGTCCTGTATACGAATCGGTTTTCTTGTC